TTTGTAACTCGTGCATAGGAACTTTTCAGACTGAGGGTGCCCTTTAAGGTGAAATCTCCTAATATTAAAACACAGGGTCACCCAATGAACTTGAAACATGAGAGATCCAGAAAGGGGAAACTGGAGTTTTTCTTCACACAGCAATAAACCATGTGAGTTGAGCCCAACAGGTGTAATGATGGCCACCAATCTGGCTACCTTTTAAGGGGGATTTGACAGTTTCATGAAGGGTACAGCTATCAGTGGCTACTAGTTATGGTAGCTCTGTGCTACTCCAGTATGGCCTCTGCACACCATTTGCTGGGAAACAGGAAGGTGCTCTTATATCCATGTCCTACTTGGGAGCATCCCACTGGTATCTGTTCAGTCATGGCAGGAGCAGAATGCCGGATGTGTGTCTTGCCAGGACTTAAATGGATCCTTTATTTGGCTTTAGAAGCAATAAGCACACCAGTGCACGAAGACTGAACAGTTTATTAACAAAGCCAAGTAGCTGAGTAAATCAAATCATCAGCTGCGTGCAGGGAAAATAACATGGTATAATACACAACGTTGTTCAGCTGAACTGTTCAGTTTTCTTTTTTGGTCTCTGTGCATCCCGGAAGAGCAGCAGCACGGACTGCTCCCCTCCCCACGGGTGTGCTGGTGTGCATACGCATGGGAGTGTTGGTGCATGTGTGGTGTTGTGCATGCATCTGTGCATATGCATGTATGATCTGTTTTGTGTGTGTGCATGTGTGCACAGGCAAGAGTATTTATGCACACATGTGGTGTTGTGCATGTGCATTTACATTTACATGTGCATATGCTTGCAGATGTGTGTGCACGTAAGTGTGTGTAAGTTCTGGGAGTGCATGTGCTCTGAATTATTTTCCCAGTTACAGTCAGGAAAAATCAACATGTGAATCATGCATGTTTCAAAGGGAAGACAACTGTTGACACGGAGCATTGTTCAGATATTCAGATATTTACAATGAGTAGCCTTTATATGAAATAATTTGGGAAGCTGACAGATCTGAAAAGCACACTTCACATTTAGGCTCACAAGACGACAGACCTGCCAGGAAGAATAGAACTAGCAACCTGCCTGGGGAACTTAAGTATGTATAGCTTTGTACTGCTTATAACAATGTTCTTCTATGCCATCAAAAGGGGTCTTCAGCTTATAGTGACCCAATGGATGACACCCCTCCAGAATGTCCAGTCCTTGACAGCTCTGCTTGGCAGTTATAAATTCATGGCTGTGTCTTCCTTCATGGCTGGCCTTTCTCTTCTTCATCAGCAACAATGTGAAGTAACTATTTCTCAAATCTGGATAATTTTGGAAAATGTTAAAATCTGCCAAGCTGCTGAAGTGTTCTTTTAAAAACCATTGCACAAACAGCTTATAGGAAATCATGTAAATACTCCACTCTTCTTTGAAAACTCTTATTTAAAAACAATTATTTAAAAGCCCATTGAGTGCTTTTCTTATAACAATAGTGTATTTTTATATGTGGTCTCTGTTCACATATCCTTTTCTATAATCATGTAAGATCATCTCAAGTTTTAAAGTTTTAAAGATGAAAAGACACACCTGAACTCAGCATTCTTTTAAATTTACTCTGTGCAGAAGTCAGTGAACCTGCATTTCTGGAGACACTTTGTTCTTATGATATTGAATAAGAGGGATTTTATTCAGTTTACTGAGTGAGACCAATAACTATAAATATAGACTGGACTTCTTTCAACATAAATTTAAATGTATATGTGTAAAAATGTAGGTAGTTAACATCACAAAACGTGAAAGTCAATAAGCATTCCCTCCCAAGTCTGAAAAAATACCAATATAATGAATGAAAAAACTTCAAATACAGACATGCTTTGTTATTAAATTAGTACTTGTCTGGTGTTCTAAACACATGATTCAAGGGCTAAAACTCACATACTTAAAATATTGTATCTTCTGTTCTTAATTTAATGCATCATGAGAGTAAATACACTTCTATATCCAGATTTCCTCCTTTATTTATCTGGCAGTATAGAAATGAAATAATCATGTTTGGAAACATGTCTTCATCCAAAATACATCAGCTTATATCAAATGTACTTTTATGGACCTTACTTAAAAGACGTAATGAATGTAATAGGGTGCTGCAGATGTTACTGTATTTAGTTTTACCTCAGCAAAGACATCTCCAATGACGTTTCAGTATCACTATGTCATACATTATTACAAATAATGTTTCATTTTTACTATTTTGTAATTCTGGAGGAAACCCCTTTCAATCTGTAAAAAACTTGGGAATGGAGAAAGATTTGCCTTCCAACAAGACAATGCACTTAAACACAAAGCCAAAGCAACACTGAAGTGGTTTTAAAAGAAGAATTCCTATATATTAGAATGGCCCAGTCAAAGCCTCATTCCAATATGCAGCATCCAGATGTGTAAAGTTGGTAGAAACTTACCCAGAAGACTCACAGCTGTACTTGTGGCCAAATAGTCAGCAAGAGTAATAGTTATGCAACCAACGTGTGCAAGTTTGTCTTTGATTACTTACCTTTTGTGCCTCAACAAAAATATTTTGCTACTTCATTGTGTTGAGACTTTTGTGTAATTCAAGAGGTAACAATGTCTTTTCAATTCCTGGCTGTAACACAACAAAATTGGGAAACTCAAAGCGAGGGGTGAATACTTCTGCCAGGCACTGTACATTCCATTGATCTCAGTGGAACTTGCTGGGTTTGAATAAATGTATTTAGAATCATCAGGCAAGACATGATGGAGTCTCCTGTCTCATTTTCAAAATATATTCAGGCTTTTTAGCAGCAAACAATGCAAACTTCATCACAGCTAAGCTGAAATGCTTGAATTAAGCCGATTTAGCCTCACTGAGATCAATGCAACTAAATGGACCAAAATCCAACTTTTTTATTTAATTGGATTATGGGTTCATCTGTGATTCATCAGTCACTAGAATGTGTGCTTTTCTGTCATATATGGTAAGTGCTATTGTAGTGAAACTGGGATTATGAACAACCTCTTCCATGTATGACTTCTTTATTTAAAATCTGGTTTCTTATTATTATCATCTCTTTTATTGCCTGTTTTTCTTAATCTGAGCTCAAGTTGGTTCCCATTTTGATTTGGTGAAGTTACTGATAGGAGACTTTTCCTAATACTTTCTGCATGGTGAATATTCTTTTGAACATATCCGCACATAGCAGAAGTTGTGCTTTAATGCATGTTGGAGAATGCCTGAAAGTACTTTTGAGGCATGACATAGTTCAGATTTTGCCAGGTGGGGGCACATTTTGCACATGTTTATCATACCCAGACAACATGGCAAAGTCCCTCTCAGTATACCAGGTGAAGAGTTAGTTCCACACATGCCAGTGTATTGACTTTTAGAGCAGCATCAGGCATGACAGAAAAGCAAGGTCAGCCTGATGCCTGGACATTTCTCCGCTGGACTGACGGTACGGATCATCTTGTCTAAAGAAGCTCTTCTGGAAGAAAGCCACAGATTTGACTACAAACACCATGGGAAATGCAGACGGACCATGCCAGGTGTCAGTTGGAGTACCTGGTGGAAGAAAAGTGGAGTGAGCTCATTCTGTGGAATTGCAGCCTGAAATAAGGCGGGGCTGGTGTCAAGGGTAGGCATGGATGGGCACCTGCAAAAGGCTCTACTGACCAGCAACTCCTTCTCCACCACCACCACCCTGCAACTGAGCCTCCTCCTCTCCCTTGCAGCCTGCTTGTTCACCCGCCACTCGTTCTGGCCCAGACAAGGGTGATGATGAAAAGGACAGAGGTGCAGAAGCTGCTGTCGTTCATCTTCCAGCCTGCTGAGCAAGCGAGTTATAGCACTGATGAGAAAAAGAGTAAGGAGTAACAGCAGCGGATGACAATGGCCGTGAGAAGGTCGGCTCGAGGAGCAAGGGTGGGACTGACAGATCTGACCCTTCTGAAGGTGTCGAAACCCGGAGGCAGAGAAACCCGGAGGCAGCGATGACGGAAGGATCCAGGTGCAATCCCAGCCACACCATCTCACATGATTGGTCCACCTCAGCCAGTCTCCCATTTTTCAACCTCTGCTTTTCCACTGTAACGTTCACCTTCTCTTAGAAATAGCTCCTGTCTGCTCCTTTTCCGCCTGCACTAGAAACACGCACTTTTGCGCGGGGTGGGCCCGGGTAGCGGTTCAGCAGGAGCCGCTGCGAGAATCATGGCTGAAGGCCCACCGCCAGGCGAAGCAGGCAGCAAATGAGCCCCGTCTCAGGTTTCCCCAGCTGGCCCTTCCAGAGAGCTAGGAGTTGCAGCCCAACACCTCTGGGGGGCACCAGCTTGGGGAAGGCCGCCCTATCGCTCAAGCCAATCTTTCAGCTTGCCAGGAACTATCCTTCTCTTGTGGGGGTCCTGTCTGAAAGGATCGCCCGCCCGCTGTACCAAGCGCTGTTCCTTGCTCCTTACAGGTTTCTTTGGGTGCCGTTTCTTCTTGGCCATGCTCCCCCGCTCTCCTCCATAGCTCGCCATCCTCACTAGACGGCCGGCACCTTCCCCCGCGCTAGCGGCTTCCCTCGTAAACCGGTTGCGCCCCCCCCCCCCCCTGTCGGGCAATGCATCATTTCGACTCACTTCATTAGCGCCGGCTGCTCCCCTCGCCGAGCCCCCTCCTCGCCTACGACCGACCGCCAGGCCACGCACTGAATGCTTCCAGCAGGGCGGAGGAAGGCAGGCAAGGCGAGTGCCCGAGAAGCGCCTTCACGTGGCGCCGGCCGCCTGTCAGGAGGCGGCGGGGACGGCGGCGCGCTCCCGGGTCCCGCGGCTCGGCGGCGCGCTCCGGGAATCGCCGCTCGGCGGCGCGCAGACGCGGTCGCTCGGCGGCGCGCTCGATGGTCTCTGCCCTAATGCGGGAGTCTGCGAGGGGAGGCAGGCGCTGCAGAAGTATGGGAGCTGTGCGTGGAGGAGGCGGCGGCGGCGGCGGCGGGGGCAGAGAGGTCTGGTAGCCCGGCGCGGATCGCGAGCACAGCCTCTGCGGACGGCGGAGCGGGATGAGAGCGCTGTGAGCTGGCCTTGCGGGAGCGGAAAGCAGGAGCAGCGAGCTCGGCCGGAACGACGGCGGCGGCTGTTGGCCAGGTAAGGGAGGGATGCTGCCGGGACCGCTGCTGCATGGAGAGGTTTGCGCCTGTGGGATCCAGCCTCAGGCAGGGATGCAGATGGGCGCATCGTTCGCACCCGTGCTTCGGTCATCGGGATGGGGCCCGCTGCACCGGGCGCCGGGCGAGGAAGCAGCTAACCGAGGAGGGCTCCCTGCTGAAGACACGGCGGGGGCTCTTGCTGCACCGTCGCCCTACCTGATCTTCTGCCCCGGCGCCACCCGCCCTCTCTCTCGCCCTTGCCTCTTCCTGGCCTCCGACGGGGTCTCACCGCAGCCCTGTCGCGCCGACCGAGCGCTAGCGCTGGACTCCACCAAGCGGCTTCTGCCCCTGCCTGCTTCTTCCTGCCAGCACAGGGCATCATCCCGAGTTGCTTTAGGGGAGGAGGGGGCGCAGTCCGGGGCCTCTGCAAGCGGCGGCCTCATTATTCGGGGGGGGGGGGGGTGCGAAGGACAGGGGGACTTTTTCCAACCTCGTCGCTGTTTGGCCTGCTTTGCCTTTCTTGGGGTGGGCTGAGAGATCCCCCTGAATTAAATTTCTGATGGTGCGGGGAGGAAAGGGATATTTCTGATCATGGCCTTCAGACTGGAGGAAGTTCTCTGGGTGTCATTGTGCTTCCTGTCAGGTATCCAGAATGCCTGATGCTTGGTAGGCCCTTTGGATGCAAGGGCTGATTAACCCACCTGGGGCAAAGCTGCAGTTGCATCAAATGAGCATTCTTCTCGCTGTGCATTTGCCTTCTCTTCAGTTTCTCTTGGTTCAGTTTGACTAAAAGGGGACACTGACTGAAATGTGTTGTGAGTTGACAGCTTGTAGGTGGTCTGCAGCTCAGCACTAGTATTTCCCCTTCACTTCTTCCTGCTCAATGGCCTAGGAAGGAAATAGGAAAGCCAGTAGGCTGAGGGCAATATCTTTCTTTTATATGTTGCCTGTGGACCTACAGATTCAGGTGGGGTAAGTAAGCAGCTTCATACTTCTCTGTTTAGTTGCTTGGGAAATCTTGAGTGCAGTCAGAAAATAAGCAAGGGCCCCAACTTGCATAATTCGGAACATAAAGAGGCCTTTGGGGAATTCATGAAAAGCTATTCCGTAGCTCGGCTTAATTAGTTTTGGGATGGGAGGGGCAGAACATATTTCAGAAGCATCTGCTATATCAATCGCTGATAGAAACAGGATGCTAGAATACAGGACATTGCACTAGTCTACAGCCTGGTGTGACAACTAAATAAATATTCACAGGCTTGGGGTGGGGTGGAAATATACATTAAAGGATATGTTAATCTTTAGCTGTTAAGATCAGAGCTGTGACCATCTTAAAGTTGTGATTTCTGCATATGCACTTGGAGTCAGCCTAGTTGGTATTGATCAAAGGGGTAAAAGTGCTGAATCATTTGTACTTTTTTTTTCTCCCAGCAAGTTTGGTTCTTCAGTTCCATTGTAGTCTTCAGGAAGTGCAAGATCTAGTTGCAGAATTATCTGCTTTCAGCACCTTCTTTCCTTTTAAGCAATACTGGCCCAGTGCAAGAATTCTTTGGACTTGAATGGGAAGCTGTTAATGTCATCAGATTTGTGACTTCCAATTGCCTTTTGATGAAACTGCTCCTCCCAAAGTTATTAGCATTTATGACACAGGAAGCGAGCCTGAGGTGTTAGCTGAAATGTACATTTTGAAGATATGGCCAGGAACTGAGAAAAATCGATGATGATGATGATGATGATGATGATTTTACCCTGAAAAATGAAAAGCTCCTACTTCATGATTCATTCCTTTCTTAGTGATAGCATCTCACTGTGTCTACCATACAATGATTGATAAATAGCAGTGCTGTTCATGATAGAAATGTGGCACAATTTAGCTAAAGTGGAGCATTTTACATTTCCATTGATTTTGATGGGAGACAGTTAAACACATGCTTAACTCTCATACTGAAATCAATTTATTTCTGTTTTTATACCCCCAAGTGTAAAATAGATTTTTAAAAAAATCTGTTATGTAGAAATGAAAACTATCTCTCTTAGTGCAGTGTGCTGCTAAGACAACCAACATTCATGACTCCAGAACCTTTCAGCCAGCTTTAGTCAAGAGGACTGTAAGAACCCATGCACCTCTATGTTTGGATCAGTACCAGGTACTGACACACACGTACTAGTTTTCCACTGCATTCTCTTCCTCGTAGAAGTTGGATTTGAAGACATCAGCACAGACAATATGAAAGAAGAGCATCTAACAATCATTCTTGGTCTTCATGTGGCTGAAGATGGCTAAAGGGCTGTGAAGCCATAAATGCATCATACCCCCCTTAATCCATTTGTGGTTATATCTGAAGGAAAGGTCCACTACACAATTCTACAAATGTCTATGAAAACAAAATTGTGATAATACAGTGTGTAGTGTAGATGTTTTTGGAAAGTATTGCTTGATTATTTTTCACTTTAAAGATTCAGCTGTGCAGAATTATCCAGGAATAGTCCCAGGAATTATCCAGGAATAGTCCAGGAATTATCCAGGAATAGTCCCACTGGCCAAAGACCTTTACCTGCCTCATTTGGTCTGTTTCTCCCAGAAAGTATTCAGGTTTGTATGTCCCTACAGCTTAAGGCATGAACTATTGAATAAGGTACCAGAAATGCATGACTGTAACACATGAAACACCACGCGAAGAGTCTTACACTTTATCTCGGAGGATTTCTGCCCAGTTCAGACTTGTATCTCTATGGGAAGGATATTTTCCAGTTAGTGGGCAGCCACCAGGAATCCCTTTCATAAATGTTGGGCTGTGTGAACTTGATATACATAATACAGTGAAATAGATCCTCACAATTGATCTTAAATGTTGAAATGAAGACAAGACTGTCACTGAAGCATTGGGGAACTATCTGTATGCTTGACTTTAGTTACATTGAACTTCCTTAACTTGGTGTTCTCCAGATGTTTTGGACTTCAGCTCCAGTCAGCCCTTGGCCAGCATAGTCTATGATAAGGAATGCTTGGGAACTGTGATCCAAAGCTATCTGGTGGGCAAGCAGTATCTATTTTTTCGGGCTACTATGATCTCTCTTTCTTGTTCATTCCTGAGAGAAGATTAAAACCATGATGCATGAGATGAATGGAAAATTGTTCACTTTTTATTTATTCCCTTTGGCCATTTTTGGGCAAGCACAGCAAAGATCCTGTTTCTTGGGTGACCTGGGAATATTCTAAAGACAAAAACAAAAATTCAGGGATCTTGATTGAAAAGTTGATGCCTTTATTGTTCATGATGTAGTTATAAAATATCCATCCATTGGGTGAGTTCAGCCAGCTAAAGTGATTGTCAGCATGACTTATTTGTTTCTCCCAAATGTTTTCGCAGTAATTTAGTCTCCTGCTAATCCTTTTAAGATGCATACCCACTGCCTTCCCTTCATTTTCCTGTTAACTGTACCTTGGATTTATGGTATCCTGCAAACAACAATGTATTGGCCATACAAGAAGCCAGTGTGATGTAGTGGCTTAAGTTTTGGACTGGGACTTAGGTTCAGGTCCCCACTTGACCATGAAGCTCACTGGGCGACTGCACCAGTCACTGACTCTCAGCCTAGCCTACCTCACAGGGTTGCTGTGACAATAAAATGGAGAGGAAAGATATGTAAGCTGCCTTGGGTTCATTGCAAAAGGAAATGTGGTACGGTATGAATGTAAGAATTAAAAACAATAATAAAAAGGTTCTGTCTCTACTAGGGGTGAGCAGCTTGTGCCTCCCTCCCCCCAAAAAAGTTCATGGCCTACAACTCCCATCAACCCTCACTCTTAGTTTTGTTATCGAGGGTTGATTGAACTTTTCTGCTAAATCTGGATGGCCCACAGGTCGCCCACCCGTGATCTAGAGTGTCTTGCAGATGAACCTCCCACAGTTTAAGGAAGCTGATATGCCCGTTGTGTTTGGTGCTTTTGGCACTGATAGAATGTGATAGCAGGGGAAACTATAGCAGGAAATCCATTCTATTTATCTTAAGGCTTTCTCTTGCTCTAGATTCTAGAATGTGGGACTCTGTCGTCCTACATTTATCCAAAGTAATTGCAATATATAGTGCTCCATTATAGAACAGTATGGGGCAGCCTCTTTATTTGATTTGATTTTATCTTTTAAATCTGCAAGGCCTGGGGAACAAAAGCATTTGGCCAAGGAGAAATTCAGATTGGTGGGAGAGCTTGTAATATAGAATGACTTTAGGAAGAACATGCAGTGCATTTTAGTAACTGTTTTAGATAACTGCTTCCCAAAGTTTCATTCCTATTTTTTTTACCAAAGGCTTTTCGGTACCCAAATTGCCCAGGGCAGTGAATAGATCTTTAGTTCTGAAGTTTGTAGATTTCTAGACCATATGCTAGCCCCATATGCAAACTTTTTCTGGAAATCTGGCTCTCTGAATTTGTTCCCAACTGAAATTAATAGGTTCATTTTGAAAAGCCACTCAGTCTTTACAGGGGAGTGTGAAAAGGGGAGCCATGGGTCAGAAGCAGAGTCCATGCTTTCCATGCAGAAAGTTGCAGATTAAGTGCCTAGAATCCCTAGTGAAAGGGGATCTGGCAGCAGGTGAAGGGAAAGAGCTCAGCCTGAGACCCGAGAAAGCTGATTCCACTCAGGGAGGATAGAGAATATTAGATTTAGATGGGCAGATGTTTTGACCTGCTATAAACAGACTTCCTCTTTTCTCTATACAATCTACATGCACCACATCAAGACAGACTTCCCATTGGGGGTAGGCAACTTTGGGCAGCCCAGGAGTCACTTTCCAGCTTGCAGATCTCCCCAAGAGCTACACTTCTGCCCCTGTGCATTACCCACAGTGGCAAAAAATACAACAACCATTGGTGGTTCATTGCTAAAATTTGGTGATAAAATGATATGGAGACTCAATTTGCTTGAAAACAAGGTAAACTGGGTTCTAATTTGTGTTGCCGCTTCATCACCAAATTTCATCAGTGAGGGCAAAGTA